CTGAACATAACAGAAACATAAAGTGGGGAAACGACACCCTTTTCGACAAATGGTGCTGGGATCATTGGCTAGCCACATGAGGAGAATGAAACTGGATCCTCATCTCTCACCTTATACAAAAACCAACTCAAGATAGATTAAGGATTTAAACCTAGGACCTGAAACTATAAAAATTCTAGAAGATAACATTGGAAAAACCCTTCTAGACATTGGCTTAGGCAAGGATGTCATGACCAAGAACCCAAAAGGAAATGCAATAAAGACAAAGATAAATAGCTGGGACCTAATTAAACTAAAGAGCTTTTGCACGGCAAAAGGAACAGTCAGCAGGGTAAACAGACGACCCACAGAGTGGGAGAAAAATCTTCACAATCTGTACATCTGACAAGGGACTATTATCCAGAATCTACAATGAACTCAAAACAAATCAGCAAGAAAAAAAACAGACAATCCCATCAAAAAGTGGGCTAAGGACATGAACAGACAATTCTCAAAAGAAGATACACAAATGGCCAACAAAAATGTGAAAAAATGCTCAACATCACTCATGATCAGGGAAATGCAAATCAAAACCACAATGTGATAGCACCTCACTCCTGCAAGAATGGCTGTAATCAAAAAATCAAAAAACAATAAATGCTAGTGTAAATGTGGTAGACAGGGAACACTTGTACACTGCTGGTGGGAATGTAAACTAGTACAACCGCTATGGAAAACAGTGTGGAGATTCTTTAAAGAACTAAAAGTAGAGCTACCATTTGATCCAGCAATCCTGCTGTTATGCATCTACCCAGAGGAAAATAAATCATTATTCAAAAAAGATACTTGCACACGCATGTTTATAGCAGCACAATTCACAATAGCAAAATCTTGGAATCAACCCAAATGCCCATCAATCAAGTACATAAAGAAATTGTGGTGTGTGTGTGTGTATATATATATTCCATCATATATGTGTGTATATATACACACATACACATATATATATGTATATATACACACACATATATACACATATATGATGGAATACTACACAGCCATAAAAAGGAATGAATTAACAGCATTTGCAGTGACCTGGATGAGGTTGGAAACTATTATTCTAAGTGAAGCAACTCAGGAATGGAAAACCAAACATCGTATGTTCTCACTGGTATGTGGGAGCTAAGCTATGAGGACGCAAAGGCATAAGAATGATACAATGGACTTTGGAGACTTAGCGGGAAGGTTGCGCCTGGCTTGTGGCTATTTGTTGCAGCAGCCACAGGAAACTAGGTTGGCAGGTGACTCACCTTCAGAGAGACCTGTTCTCGGAGCGTGGAGTTGGCATAGGCGAAGGTGCTAGCCATCCCAATGCACACAGCGATGCCTGTGGGACAGAGAAGGGCCTGACGTCACCCACTTAGACTCACCAGGCCTAGCCTGGGTGCTGAGCAACATGAGGGAAAAGACACATCCCTAGGCCCCTTGGAGTTGATAGGAGAGAGAGAGTAAAATTAAAAAAAAAAAAAATCCCACTTCTGGGGGATTTGGGCTGCCATCTAAATCTCTGGGAATTCTGAGTCATTCTGACTTAGGGACAGGATTTAGGTCCCTGTGGGGATACTTTATAGCACTGGCTAAGGGGATGGGCTGTGCAGTCTGGTAAGGGCTGGGTTCAATTCCCAGCTCTGCCACTCCCTCTCTGTGTGAGCTTGGGCAAGTCACTGCACCTCTCTGAGCCCTAGTTTCCTCATCTGTAAAATGGACACAGCAATAACATTACTTATACCTCATGGAGGGATAAAGCTTCTAGATCATAATCCCTAGCAGTTAGTAAATGATGCCTCTTATTATTTCTACTTCCAAAAAGAGTCTGATAGAATCATATAGAATTTGTGATAAAAGCATACATTGAAAAAACTCACAGCTTGGGCACAGTGGCTCACGCTTGTAATCCCAGCACTTTGGGAGGCCGAGGTAGCCAGATCACTTGAGATCAGGAGTTTGACACCAGCCTGGCCAACATGGTGAAATCACATCTCTACTAAAAATACAAAAATTAGCTGGACATGGTGGACACGCCTGTAGTCACAGCTACTCAGGAGGCTGAGGCACAAGAATTGCTTGAACCCAGGATGAGGAGGCAGTGAGTCGAGATCACACCACTGTACTCCAGCCTGGGCAACAGAGCAAGACTCTGTCTTAAAAAAAAAAAAAAAGAAAGAAAGAAAGAAAGAACTCACAGCACCATAAGGAATTCAAGTTTAATGTTCAATGAGAAAAAAAAAAATCCCAGCTAACAGACAAACATGACCCAGGCAGATGGCATAACGGAATTGAATTTTCTTCCACCAGTCATGTAATTGGCCACTGTTTGCCAAGCTACAATCTTGGAATTCTCTTGGAATAATGATTTTTGAGTCCTGCTTTTTGTTATTTGCAGACAGGATTCCTCTTTCACCTGATGCTCACCCTATCTATCTATCTATCTATCTATCTATCTATCTATCTATCTATCTATCTATCTATCTATCTATCTATCTATCTGACACTGTCACACTCTGTTGTCCAGGCTGGAGTGCAGTGGTGCAATTTCAGTTCACTGCAGCCTCCACCTCCTGATTTCAAGTGATTCTTGTGCCTCAGCCTCCCGAGTAGCTGGGATTACAGGTGCCTGCCACCACACCCAGCTAATTTTTGTATTTTTAGTAGAGATGGGGTTTCACCATGTTGGCCAGGCTGGGCTCAAACTCCTGACCTCAAGTGATCTGCCCAACTCAGCCTCCCAATGTGCTGGGATTACAGGCGTGAGCCACTGTGCTCGGCCTCACTTACTCTTTTAATAGGTATGTGCACTCCAGCTATTTTTCCAGATCTACTTTGTAGAAGCGGTATTTCTTCACTATAAGCACATAAAACAAGAATGAGTAGCCCCATAATCCTTTTTGGTGCTCTTCTCTGTGATTAAAATATAACAACCAAAAAAAAAAAAACCTGCCAAGTGAAAAAGAAAACGACCATACTCACGAAACAAAACTTAGCTGTGATGCCAGAATTCAGGGTAATGGGGAACATGCCAGCTTTCACTTCTAGGAATAGAAAGGGTGGGGCTGATAGGACAGCACCCCTGCAAGGAAGGTGGAGGAATCCCAGAGAGAAGAAAATAAGAAATAAAGAATGGTCTCATCTCCTCTCGAGGCTTTCTCTCTCTCTTTTTCTTTTTTTTTTTTTTTTTAGTAGAGATAGGGTCTCACTATGTTTCCCAGGCTGGTCTTGAACTCCTGGCGTCAAGCGATCCTCCCGCCTTGGCCTCGCAAAGTGTTAGGATTATAGGTACGAGCCACTGCACCTGCCTGATATTTTCTCATGGAAAATAGTAGCCCACAAGATAATTCTTACCATCACTCCTACTGCAGTACTAAAACAACAGCCTATAAGCCAGCCGGGGCACAGCAACACCATGATCTAATAAGTAAGCCGGGTGTGGTGGTTCACGCCCGTAATCCCAGCACTTTGAGAGGCCAAGGCAGGTGGATCACTTGAGGTTAGGGCTGAGAATCGCTTGAACTCAGAGGGCGGAGGTTTGCAGTGAGCTGAGATCACGCCACTGTACTCCATCCTGGTGACAGAGTGAGACTCCATCTCAAAAACAAAAACAAACAAACAAAAAAACAGTAAGTAACATTAATGATAACAATAACGGTACACTAGGCCAGGCACAGTGGCTCACGCCTATAATCCCAGCACTTTGGGAGGCTGAAGCGGACAGAACACCTGAGGTCAGGAGTTCGAGACCTGGCCAACATGGTGAAACCCTGTCCCTACTAAAAAATACAAAAATTAGCTAGGCGTGGTGGCTGTTGCCTGTAATCCCAGCCACTTGGGAGGCTGAGGCAGGAGAATTGCTTGAACCTGGGAGGCAGAGGTTGCAGTGAGTAGAGGTTGCACCCTTGCATTCCAGCCAAGGCAACAAGAGCAAAATTCCATGTCAAAACAAACAAACGAAAAACAGTATACTAGAGGCCAATTACTGACTGTTGACTATGTGTTAGATAGGAGGCTGAGCACTTTATTAACCATTATATTATTTCCTAATAATAACAGTAGGTAGTATTTATTCATCATTTGCTATATGCCAGCCTCTATGTTAAATATTTTAATGTGTGTGGATAATAAATATAGTAGGCTGGGGCAGTGGCTTGTACCTGTAATCCCAGCACTTTGGGAGGCTGATATAGTAAGACTTTGACTCTACAAAAAATTTTACATTTAGCCGGGCGTGGTAGCACATGCCTGTAGTCCCAGCTACTCAGGAGGCTGAGGTGGGAGGATCGCTTGAACTTGGGAGGCAAAAGTTGCAGTGAGTGAAGGCTGCAGTGAGCTGAGACCTGCACCACTGCACTCTAGCTTATATATATAATAATGTGTTTTATACACATTAACTCAAATTTAACATCACTGTTATCCCATGAAGAATATAAAATCATACCTCCACTTTACAGATGATGAAACTGAGGCACAGAGAGGTTAAATAATGCACCTAGCATCACACAGCTAGGAGGGGACAGAGCTAGGGTGCAGACTCCAGCAGTTTGAGTTATTACACAGGACTCCTTCACACTAGCCAACTAGCAAGGAAGTTTCTATCATAACTCCCACTAGACAGATGAGGAAATAGGCTCAGAGAAGCCAAGTGACTTGCCCAAAGTCACACAGCTAGTCAGCCAGGATTTGAACCCAGGTCTGACTCAGAATCCCACACTCTGAAGCCCATGTTGGTCTCTACTGTCTCTCCCTGGGCTTCAGAGGAGGAGCCCCCACCCCACAGGCTGCAGGCAGCCTGCGTGTTGAAGCCCATGGCCAGGACACCCATGCCCCCAGAACTCACCGAGCTTATGCTGGAAGCACAGTTTGGCCAGGAGGATCAGGATGAAGGGGAGTCCTTTCTGGAGCCAGCAGATCACAGCCTTCAGCTCGGACAGGGCAGGGGCAGGCGTCCCAGGCTGCTCGTCACCTCCCTCCTCCGAGTGCCCCCGGTGCTCCCCACCCACGTGCTGCAGCAGGGAGCCCCCACGGTGGCCGCCGTGGTGGAAGTGGTGGTGGGGCTGGCGGTGGTGGTAGGCACCCCCCTCGCCCCGGCCCCCTCCTTCCTCCCTGGATGCGGGCATCTGGATGAACACGTCCCCACCGCCAGCGGAGGAGCCCAGCACCAGGCTGGAGGGGAACGAGCTGGTGGGGAGGCTTCCTGATAAGCCCGAGAAGAGCGCTGGTGGGGAGGCCGCCTCTGCCTTCAGACTCTCAAAGACGCCGCCTTCATCCACACTCGCCTCAGAGCTGAGCGTCTGGCTGCGGTTTCTGGGTGACAAGGGGAGAAAAACCCCAGGAAGTCAGGCAGATGGAAAAGACCTTACTCCAGAGGAGGATGGGAACCAATAATATCAATTATGTTATGGGTTGAGCTGTGTCCCTCCTCAAATTCACATAAAGTCCTTCCTCCCAGAATCTCAGAATGTGACCCTGTTTAAAGACAGGGTCTGTACGAGGCAATGAAGTTAAAACGAAGTCATTGGAGTGGGTCCCAATCCAGTGTGACTGCTGTCCCTATAAGAAGAGGTTAGGGCTGATGCAGTGGCTCATGCCTGTAATCCCTGCACTTTGGGAGTCAGAGGTGGGATCACTTGAGCCCAGTTGTTCAAAACCAGCCTGGGCAACATAGGGAGACCCCATCTTTACAAGAAATAGGGATAAATTAGCCAGGCATGGTGGTACACGCCTGTAGTCCCAGCTACTCAGGAGGCTGAGGTGGGAGGATCACTTGAGCCCAGGAGGTTGAGGCTGCAGTGAGTCAAGGCCTCACCACTGCACTCTAGCCTGGGCGACAGAGAGACTGTCTCAAAAGGAAAAAAAAAAAAGAGGAAGAGATTAGGACACAGACAGGTACAGACAGTAGACCATGTAAACACCCAGGGAGAAGATGGCCATCCACAAGCCAAGGAGAGAGGCCTCAGAAGGAACCAACCCTGCTGATACCCTGATCTCAGCCTTCCAGCCTCCAGAATTTGTTAAAAGAAATTTCTGTTGTTTAAGCCCCTCCCCTCGGGGTACGGTACTTTGTTACGGCAGTCCTAGGAACTAATACAAATAATATTAATAACAATAGGTCATAACCTTTATTGAAACCTACTATGTGTCAGATAGTCTTCTGAGTGTTTTGCATTGATTAACTTACTAAATCCTCCCATCAACCCTGGAATTAGGTCCTACTGATATTCCCACTTTACGGATAAAGAAATGGAGGCTCAGAGAGAGAAAGTAACTTGTCCAGAGTCACAGAGCTGGTAAGGGATGGAGCAGGGGAGATTCGAACCCAGGCCGACTCTCTCTAGAGCCCATTTTAGTAACCAGCACATTTCATTGAAAAGGGTGCACAGAATTCTATGATTCTAGAATTACCTCGGGATCCCAAGGACCCCTGGCTCTGCAGTCTTCAAGTTCAATGTCCCCCAGTTCCCCAGAGGGGCCAGCCTTGGTCACAGCTGACATTGGGTGGGCGGCAGAGAGTAATGCGAAGAAGACTTAGCTGGGAGGCCCACATTCAAGCTCCAGCTCCACCTGTTCTAGGGGCCTTACACCTCTGCACTCAGCTTTCTTACCTGAACAATGGGCCTTTATTCCTGAATAGAATTCCTGGGGGTGGGGGTGTTAAATTTAAAATACGTTTTGCAATAATAGGTTCTCAATACGTGGCAACTGTTATCTCTAATTCCTATGGAAGACCTGTGAGGCCAAATTGCTTTCTCTAGTTCCAAGCAAGGGCCTCTTGGGTTGGAATCAGGCAAAGGATTCTGTGGCTCCTGCAGAGCCACTGCTGGCAGAGCAGAGAGCCCGGAGTTAGGCCTGCAGGAATGGAGAGCCCAGTATTGGGTGCCGTTTCCCACGAACACCAAGTTCTGGATACCACCTTTCTATTCTTAGGTTCATCCTCTTTTCTTTCTTTTTTCCTTTTGAGACAGAGTCTCGCTCTGCCACCCAGGCTGGAGTGCAGTGGCGCGATCTTGGCTCACTGCAACCTCTGCCTCCCGGGTTCAAGTGATTCTCCTGCCTCAGCCTCCCAAGTAGCTGGGACTACAGGCACTCACCATCATGCCTGGCAAATTTTTGTATTTTTAGTAGAGATAGAGTTTTATCATGTTGGCCAGGCTGGTATCGAACTCCTGACCTCAGGTGATTTGCCCGCCTCAGTCTCCCAAAGTGCTGGGATTACAGGCAGGAGCCACCGTGCCCAGCCGAGGGTTCATCCTCTTTTGAAGTGGAATCACTGCATCGCAAACTCAGTCCACACCACAGATGCAAGCGGAGCTGATGTGCTCGATGTGCATGTGTTGGGGAGTAGGGAGGACAAAGAGCCACTCCCTCCTTCTCTCACCCTGCAGGCACCTCCACAGACCACTAAGAGACTCCAGATATACCATGAGCTTACTGAAAATGGGCTGGGCTTCATTCATTCTCTGGACCCCACAACCCAAGGCACATAGTAGGTGCTTAATAAATGTATGTCAGATGTCACTCAGTCCAAAATGGCAGCAGGAGGGAGGCTCTGGTGGAAATTTTCCACTGTTTTCACACTTAATCTCATATCATCTATTATACGAGACCATTATACACAGGGAGAGACAGGAGTCTCACTCTGTTGCCCGGCTGGAGTAGTGCGATCATAGTTCACTACAGCCTCAAACTCCTGGGCTCAAGTGATCCTCCCACCTCAGCCTCCTGAGTAGCTGGGATTATAGGCGTGTGCCATTGCAATTGGCTCCAGGAAATATGTTTTAAAATATATAAAAGACCAGCTATGGTGGCTCACGCCTATAATCCCAGCACTTTGAGAGGCCAAGGTGGGCAGATCCCTTGAGCCCAGGAGTTCAAGACCAGCCTGGGCAACATAGGAAGAACCTGTCTCTACAGAAAATTAAAAAATTAGCCAGGCATGGTGGCACGCACCCGTAGTCCCAGCTAGTGGGGAGGCTGAGGTGGGAGGACAGCTTGAGCCCAGGAGGTAGAGGTTGCAGTGAGTTAAGATCACGCCACTGCACTCCAGCCTGGGTGACAGAGTGAGATGCTTTCTCAATAAATAAGTAAGTAAATAAATAATAATAAAACACGTACAGTCCGGCATCCATATTTAAGGATTCAACCAACCTTGGGTTGTGGACCAAAACCCACAGATACAAAGGGCTGACTGTCCTAGCTATTTTATACGAGGGACTTGAGTAGCTGCATATTCTCGTATCCATGGGGTCTTGAAACCAACCCCCCCATGAATATGGAGGGCCGGCTGTATTTGATTATTTCACAATCCCACTAAAAACCCTCCCAGGGCTTCCCATTCTGTGTTCCTTCCCTGGTCTCAGAGGAACCCTCTAGATGTACAAATATCATTCCCAAATATCATGTTCTTTACTGACAAAGAAACTGAGGCTCAGAGAGATGAAGTCGCCAGGCACCCTGGATTATTTGGCCCCAAACTCCAATCTTATCATGTGCCCCTTTCTCGCCGTTCAAGGGCTTTCTAATACAGGCTGTCACCTTCACCGGGATGTCTCCCATACCCGCACCCCATCCCAACTAGGTAATGCACGCTCATCTGTCAGATTTCAGCTAAAATCTCCCTTCCTGGATTGAGGCTTCCCTCCCCCCCAGACAGTGACAGTCCCTGCTCCTTGTCCTCACTGCACCCTCACGTCACCTGCACAGGATGATCGCAGCTGTCATTTTATCCCTCATCTTTCCCTCAAGACCTGTGGCTCTCAACCCTGGCCATGTATTATAATCACTTGGGGGAACTTTTGAAAAAGACAGGTGCCCCGACCCCACTGGAGACCAACTGAATCAAAATCTTTGTGGGTGGCTCCCAGCATCTGAAGTTACTCAGAGTCTCCTCAGGGATTCTTGTTTTTTTTTTTTTGAGCAGGGTCTCCCTCTGTCACCCAGGCTGGAGTGCAGTGGCACAATCTCCGCTCACTGCAACCTCTGCCTCCTGGGCTCAAGTGATTCTCATGCCTCAGCCTCCCGAGTAGCTGGGATCACAGGTGTGTGCCACTACGCTTGACTAATTTTTGTATTTTTTTGTAGAGATGGGTTTTCACCATTTTGGCCAGGCTGGTCTCGAACTCCTGTGCTCAAGTGATCCACCTGCCTTGGCCTCCCAAAGTGCTGGGATTACAAGCATGAGCCACCATTCCCCACCGCCCCCCGTTACAGTGATTCTAATGTGTGATCAGTGCTGCGAACCATAGCTTTGGACAGAGCTCCACTCCACAGGGTCAAAGACCATAACCTTGCTCCCCACTGTATCTTTACCACCCTGTACAATGCACCTGGCACTCGGAACATGCTCAATAAAAAGTGTTTGAAGGAATGCATGAACAGGCATACTAAAGGCTCTGAGAAGGCCTGCAAGTGAAAAAACGGACTTTGCTTAAGCCCAGTGTTCCCCAAACTTATTTGAATTTTTTTTACCCATGAAAAGCCATTTAACACCTTGCAGAACACCTGTGACACACAGCAGGGGGACACAGTGGTTCCCCTGGCTGCACAAACTGGGCCTACAGGTATGTTACTAAAAACCCAGTGAGGCCAGGCCTGGTGGCTCATGCCTATAATCCCAGCACTTTGGGAGGCCAAGGTGGGCAGATCACTTGAGGTCAGGAGTTTGAAGCAGGCTGGGTGTGGTGGCTCACACCTGTAATCCCAGCACTTTGGGAGGATGAGGTGGGTGAACCACTTGAGGCCAGGAGTTTGAGACGAGCCTGGCCAATATGGCAAAAACTCCTCTCTACTAAAAATACAAAAATTAGCCAGGCATGGGGTGCGCACCTGTAATCCCAGTTACTCAGGAGGCTTCGGCAGGAGAATCACTTGAACCTGGGAGGCAGAGGTTGCAGTGAGCTGAGATTGTGCCACTGCACTCCAGCCTGGGCAACACAGTGAGACT